CGAATCACTGTGTTGTACACCTGGGACTAATGTAACATGGTGTGTTGACTATACTTTAACTAAAAGAATTTCTTTTAATATTTCTTTATTTTGAGAGAGAGAGAGAGAGAGAGTCCTAAGCATGGACGCGGGGCTTCATCTCATGACTGTGAGCTGAAATCAAGACTCGGTGCTTACCTGACTGAGCCACCCAAGTGCCCCCAAAAGAAATTTTTTTTTAATGGGGCTAATAATACCCAAACTTCGGAGTTTTGAGAACTATACAGCACACGTGTAAAGGGTTCGTGCAGTATGTGCGGCGCATAGTAGGTTCGCGAGGACTGGTAGCTGTGGCCCTTGCTTTTGTGGCTTTAAGCTGTGGCTTAGTTTGGACCGGAATTGGCTGTGAGCTTTGAAAGTTGTGAGCCAAGGGAACCAAGGTGAACACACTTGGTCAGACTTTAAGGTTGTGAGCAGATGAAAGTTAGAACAGTTTAACTGAGAGTTTATGCATTGCAGGCAGGGCCGTCCCTTGGCCTCGTGGTGGTGGGGTTTGCACGATAACCGTCTAACTGAAGTTCTCCTCTTTGCACCTTGTTGGGCCTCGGACACCTCTAGTTGACCTTGGTGTTGGTGGTTTCATCCTTAGGTTAGAGCCCCACGCCCGTCTTGTTTGCAGGGTTAACCCTGGATAATGTTTGTTGAATTAACACCTGCCCATTGGGGTCGTCTCCCACGTGAATTCGCAACACCCACCACGACATAGATCCTGACTTGAACCCCTCTGCAGCTGAGACCTTTGCCATCCCTCTCCTGCTGACCCAGCCCCGTCCTGGGTGCTGGGAGAGGCTAGATCATGAAAAGCCATCAGTGACAGAATCTAGATTCACCGATTCAACAGATACTTACTAAGTTTTTAAAAATACCTTCAAGGTACTCAAAAGTAGGTAAAATATAAGAAGAGACCCCAAAGGGGACAGAAACCTTTCTATGAGACAGGAAAAAATTCTAACTTGACAATTACGAATCTCAGGCAATTGTGCCTTTTTGATGATGGTGAAAATAAGCAGACCAGGTTAAGGCGACCTATCGTTTCTTTCCTATGCCAGCCCCCGGGGGTGGAAGGAAGTGCCCTTGCTGCTGGGTGAGGCCCACCCACCATGTCTCCTTGGCCCGCTGTGGCTCCTGGGCAGGCCCCCCTCGGCAGCCCCCTCTGCAGTCCAACTTGCAGTTTGTCTCCCTGAGGATCAGAGCAGGGTAGTGTGTGGAGGTGGGGCTGAAGGAACTCAGTATGCCAGGGACAGCAGAGCCCCCGCCCTCTATATGCTGTCTAGGTATCTCTGAAAGGGGACACCGCCTTTGAGTTCAGAACTAGAAGTTCATATTTGCTTAAGAGGCAAATATGTCTATGGTAGCCAGATTAGAATTCAGGATGTCCCTTCTCTAGCACCTAAAGACAGCCAAGGGCTTGGCACAGACCAACAACCAATGCAGGAGAATAGTCCAAGTAGGAAACAAGATGGCCTAGGGCCTCTCCGTTAGTCACCAGGACCTGGGTTCAAATCCTGCCTCTGCCACTTATTCTGTGATCCCAGGTCAGTGACATGGCCTCTCTCTCAGGGCTTCTCCTCTCATCAGTATAATGGGAACCGTGCCTCCTCCAGGTTACAAAAATAAAGTGGGAAAAATGTATTTAAAGTGCGTTGCCAGGGCACCTGGGTGTCAGTCGGTTAAGCGTCTGACTCTTGATCTCGGCTCAGCTCATGATCTCGTGGTTTGTGGGAGGGAGCCCCACATCATCAGGCTCTCCGCCGACAGCACGGAGCCTGCTTGGGATTTTCTCTTTCCCTTTCTCTCTGCCCCTCCCCCACTCTCACACCCACACGCAGTCTCTCTAAATAAATAAATATAACTAAAAAAAAATAAAGCTCATTGCCTAGGCCGGGCATAGTGGGGCGGCTGCTGTGTATGTTAGTGTTGTAGTTATGATTCACCTTCGACCTTTGCACAGTCCTTTACAGTTTACAGAGCTCTTTTTGTAGATGTCGCCTTATTCGATCCTGTAGGTAGGAACGGGGAAGGTATCATTCACCCCACTTGATAGATGAGGAAACTAAAGTCCAGAGGCATCCACAGGACAGACTAGTAGGTGGCATGGCTGGGACTTGCCTGAATCGGGGCCAGGTGTCCTTCCCCCCACCGTCTCACCCCACCTCCTTCAGATATAAGGGGCGGCTATGACTCCCGCCCATCTTGCTGGCAGTGCGGGGCATTGAGGGTCTGAAGGAAGGAGAGAAGGAAACTGATGTTTGAGTGTCTGCTGCTTGCCATGCTGTGTACCAGGTCCTTTTTTTTTTTTTAATTTTTTTTTTAATGTTTTTATTTATTTTTGAGACAGAGACAGAGCATGAGCAGGGAAGGGGCAGAGAGAGAGGGAGACACAGAATCTGAAGCAGACTCCTGGCTCTGAGCTATCAGCACAGAGCCCGACGCGGGGCTCGAACTCACAGACTGTGAGATCGTGACCTGAGCTGAAGTGGGACGCTTAACCAACTGAGCCACCCAGGCGCCCCTGTACCAGGTTCTTTATATCCATTGCCTTCTTCATCCTCACAGCCTCCCTGGGACTTAGGAACTCTTGTTCCCTTTTTATAGATAAGAAAACAGGTTCAGAGACATTAAGGGACTTTGCTGAGGATACATTGCTGGTCCTGGATGGAGACGGGCTCCAGCCCTGGGGAGCAGTTAGCACCGAGAGGAGACGGAGAAGACAGGCAGAGAGGCCTTCTAACTTTCCAGTGTAGGCCCAGGACTGGCCCTCCTGTGTGGCCACGGCCTATGCTCCTGCCAGTCCTTATCAGGAGGACCTTGGGTCTTTGCCAGGACTGAGTCCATGCCCCATCCCCCATCCCCCGACCCTCCCCCCAGCTGGCAGGGGCCATGAGGAGTGGGCTCTAGTCCCATGCTCTGGCCTTAACATCCATCCTATCCCTGAGAGTCAAGGTGCAGGTGGAGAGCTGTGCTGTGCTGGGTACGGAACAGCCAGAACCATGCGTTCAAGCCCCTGACCCTGCGGCCGGGGTCTGGTAGGATCAGGAGGCCAGACTGCAGGGTTTTGAAGTCAGGCAGCCTTGACACGCTAGCTTATCACTCGTGTGGCCTTGGACAAGTGACCCGCCTCCTCTCCGGCTTAGTTTCGTTATCTCTAAAATGGGGGTAATGATGCCATCTAACCCAAGGTTACCATGAGTATGGGCTTATATGTGCTAGGTCAGCGTGCTTAGCACAGAGCTTGGCACCTAGTAAGTGCTCGCCAAAGCAGCACCACCTTCTCGGTGTCCTGAGTGAGCGCCAGCCCAGACCTCTCCCTGACAAGCCGTGCGACCACAGAGAAGCTACTGGGCTCCTCGTCTGTAAGGTGGGAACTGACTCAGAGCATTGATGGCAATGTTGTAAGGATTAGTGCGGTGGCTGAAGAAAACCTCATTATTGCTTATTTTATTTCTTTTAGAGGCACTGATGTGGACCTAGTTATTAGGGAAAGAGGTACAAGGCATATCCATGACCATGCTAGGTTGTTTACTTGTATTATTTTATTTAAGCTGTGGATGTATATACCCACTGTACAGATGAGACTCACAAATACCTAGGAAGTAGTGAGATTTAGCCCCGGAGCTGTGGGGCCTCAAACTTGCACTCTTTTTCTACTGACACCCCTGAGTCAGATTCACCATGCAGAGGCCACAGAGCAGCCTAGAAGCACGATTCACCAACCTCCTTTTTCCCAGTGGCAGCTTGATTAAGCTCTCCAGTCTAGGTGGGACCTGGCCCAAGCCTGATGAACACAGCAGGTGAGGTCACCCCCAAATCCTCCTGAACAGAAGCTTATGACCAGAAGGAATATCCTAGAGTCCCCTTCCTGCCAGGCTCACTCTTGGGAATTAGTCTGGAAGTGGCCCCTCACCTGTGGGCCTTGATATCTGGGATTTTGACACCTGGAAACCCCCGAAGGGGCAGGAGGCAGGTGAGTGGGTGACAAAAAATGCGGAAACATGGGCCAGTGCATAACATGGGCCAGTGCATTCCTGGGCTCAAGGCCAGACTGGTTTCAGCTTCTGCAGGACATAGGGGTCAGCCAGCTGGCCTCAGGAGCGGGGCCGGAGCTGATGGGGAGTGGAGTGTGCAGGGGGTGCCCAGGCTGGCCAAGCTGGCCTAGGGCAGGCTCCTCTGGAAGGAGAAGGAGCATTCAGAGTGCTGGTGAGTATTGTGTCAGCTGACCAGGCTGACCTTGGGCGAGCCACTCCTTTCTCCGAACAGTGAATTCACTCTGGCCCCCCCAGAGGATATCCAGGCAGACCTGTAGCAGGTGGACTGAAGTCTGCCAGATGCCACTGTGACATGTCCTTGCAGCTCACAGGCTGGGAGGGCTGACCTCAGCTTCATGGGACAGAGGTGCCTCACCCAAGAGACACTCTGCCACCCACCCAAGTTGCCGGCTTGGGCTGTCCTCGTAGGCCTTGGGGAGGCAAGAGCATGGCCTCCCTTCATCAGGGGAAGGATGCAGCTAGACCTCTCGCCCTTAGGCTGGGCCTTGCCCCAGGCTTTCCAGCTTGTGCTCTTAACGCAGATTATTCTGCCGTATGGACTACCTGCCTCACCCCTTCCAATCCTACAGGACTTTTCTCAAACCTGCTTCCTCCAGGGCGCCCGGGTAGCTCAGTCGGTTGGGCGTCCAACTTCGGCTCAGAACATGATCTCACGGTCCGTGAGTTCGAGCCCCGCGTCAGGCTCTGTGCTAACAGCTCAGAGCCTGGAGCCTGCTTCCCGGTCTGTGTCTCCCTCTCTCTCTGCTCCTCCCCTGCTCATGCTCTGTCTCTCTCTGTCTCAAAAATAAATAAAAACATTTAAAAACAAAAAACAAAAACCTGCTTCCTCCGCCAGGCCTTCTGTGGCTACCAAAGGGCCTCTCTGAGTTTGAGCTACAATTGTGCTCTATGTGCCTGTCATATTTACCGTATTTTATAAGATTAATGCATGCAAAATTAATGCCTGGTTTTTGTAATAATTTGAGCAACCCATACTCCACAAGGAATTTGTGGTCTCCCTTCTTTCTACCCCAGCGCCAGTCTGCCTGAGAAATAGAGACAGAATCATTCCATCAGTATTAAATTTGTCCATGTCAGTGACTTGGCAGTTAATCGTGTCGCCCTGTGATATGTCTTGCACTTTTATTTTGGTTCGTTTTCCCGGTAGCTGCTGTCTAGCTTTGTTGCATCTTCCCATGCGTATTGGAAACTCTGTGGACAAGCTGTGTCCAACACACTCTCCATCTGCAGCAGCGTGCCCGTCTTTCACGTTCTGAGGACAGGAGTGGGTGTCCAGGGCTTCTCCAGGTTGGCTGGACTGCTTCGGTGCTGCCAACCTGGAGGAAAGGAAAGGTACGCAGAGAGAGCTCACGTCCCTGACCTCAGCCACTCGCTTGTGGAACCTCAGGCACATTACTCAACCTCTTGCCTATAAATTGGGCGTGATAGTAACAACACCCGTTGGTGGAAACTGTTAGGACCAGATGCACACTCACAGCCACACCCACACAGAGAGGAAGCAGTTCGTTTTCTCAGGATGGCTTAAGAATGCTTGGGTTCAAATGCCAACGCATCGCATATAAGCTTTGCCTCCCTAGACAAAAGTTCCTTCCTCCCCCTGGGCCTCACTCTCTTTCCCCGTGAAATGGGGGATAGTATCACCTCAGGCTGTCAGCGTGGTGATGAGTAGAGCTCGGCCAGGACTTGGCCTGCAGTAGATACCAGTCGTGGTAATGGTCTCATCATTTACTATTGTTCTTCTGCAGAAAAAGATGCTTCGTTTATCTGCTCCCCCACTTCTGCTCACAGGATGGGGGCCTGTGACGGCCTGAACCGAGTCTGTGGTTTTATCTAAAACAAGTGCAGATCTTGCCCTGATGTGGAGTCCCACATGCTCCTGGCCAGATGGTCTTTCTGCAGCACAGGGACCACAGAACCACAGAATTCCCAGGAACCCCCATCTCTGCAGCCCACCCAGCTGCTGGAGATCAGTTTCCTCCCTGGGAGCAGTGTGGGAGAGGGTGTTCCAATAAAAACTTACAGAGGAAGAAGTGGGCCGATTAAATGGTGTGCTGTCTTTCCTCTTTGAGACTTTGGGGAAGTGACTGACAGAGTTTCTGGAACTCAGGGTCCCTGGAAGGAAGTACCCAGGCAATTGGGAGGCCTGTTGTCTGGCCCTGGGCTGCCAAATGATTTTCATACCGTGGGGGCCCTGGAAGTGCCGCCATATTCAAACATGGCCTCCATCTCCATCCTGGGAGCTATACTTTTGAGCAGCTAGGCTGCTCCCATGGAACCTTCTTCTGGAAAGTAAGCGCAAGCAGGGATGTCTCTGAGGAGTCCAAGGTTTTCCTCATGAGAAAACTAAATGTGGCTCATTTCACTCTGAACCAAAGCCTCCTCCCTCAGGCTGTTGTGATCGGTACCTTTCTTTGCAGAGCTCCCAGAATATTCCATCATTCATTCCTTTGTTCAGCAGTTAATATGTTATACACCAGCTGTGTGCCAGACATCACTAGGTGCAGGGATTGTGTAAGGAATAAGACAGCCCTTTCTTATGGAACTTATGTTGCAGCAAGGAAGACAGTAAACAGTAAACAAATAAACAAGTAAATAAGGAATGTTGTGAAGCATTAGGGCTTTGAAACCAATCACGTAGGATGCAGGGCCATGAAGGTAAGAGGCCACTGTCACTACACCAGTCAAGGAGGGATGGGCTTTCAGAATAGGGACATTTGAACCGAAACTTGAATTAATCATGAGAGAATGGACCATGTGGATGTGAGGAGAAGATTATTCCAGGCAGGACAGTGAGCACAGTGGTCCTGGGGCAGGGATCTGGGAGCAAGAGGGAGAGGGGCTGGAGACAGACCAGGGGGTGGAGACCCCCATCAAGGGCAGTGTTTCTCAACCTTTTTTCATCAATTGCCCCCTCCCTAAAAGGTTTTTTTCTGCCGGAAGCGTCCGACTTCAGCTCAGGTCATGATCTCACAGTTCGTGAGTTTGAGCCCCATGTAGGGCTCTGTGCTGACAGCTTGGAGCCTGGAGCCTGCTTTGGATTCTGGGTCTCTCCTCTCTGCCCCTCCCCTGCTTGTGCTCTGTCTCTGTCTCTCAAAAATGAATAAATGTCAAAAAAATTTTTTTAATATTTTTTCTGCTTTATTTTTTTTAGTTCAATTTCTTTAAAGAGATAAACTAAAACAGCTCATGCATTTCTCCCATCACCCCACCCACCAACTCTGACAACCACTTATCTGTTCTCTAGATCTACGAGCTTGGTTTTTAAAATATATATTATATGTAATATATTTTTTTAATTTGTCTTTGTCTAACTTCCTTCACTTAGCATAATATCCTTGAGTTTCATCCATGTCATCACAAATGGCAAGATTTCCTTCTTTGTTATGAATGAATAATATTCCTGGTGTGTGTGTGTATGTGTGTGTATACCACATTTTGTTTATCCATTCATCCATCAGTGGGCACTTAGGTTGTCTCAATATCTTGACTATTGTAAATAATGCTGCAGTGAACGTGGGGTGCATATGTTTTTGAGGTAGTGTTTTTGCTGACTTAGGGTACATATCCAGAAGTAGAATCGCTGGATTATAGGGTAGTTCTATTTTTAATTTTTTGAGGAACCTCCATACTGTTTTCCACAGCGGCTGCACCAATTTATATTCCCACCAACGGTGCATGAGGGTTTCCTTTTCTCCACGTCCTCACCAATACTTGTTATTTGTCTTTTCGATACTAGTCATTCTGACAGGTATGAGGTGGTCTCTCCTTGTGGTTTTGGTTTGCATTTCCTGATGATGAGTCATGTTGAACACCTTTTCATGTGTCTGTCGGCCATCTGTATGTCTTCTTTGGAATAATGTCTATTTATGTCTCCTGTCCATTTTTTAAAATGTATTTATTTTTGAGAGAGAGAGAGAAAGAAAATGAGTAGGGGAGGGGCAGAGAGAGAGAGGGAATCCCAGGCACAGAGCCTGACACAGGACTCGAACCCACGGACTGTGAGATCATGAACCGTGAGCCAAAACCAAGAGTGTGATGCTCAGCAAACCGAGCCACCCAGCCACCCCTCTTCTGCCCATTTTTTAATAAGATAATAATTTTTTTTTTGCTGTTGAATTGTATGAGTTTTTTATATATTTTGGATATAAGCCCCTTATCAGATGTGTGATTTGTACATATTTCCTCCCATTTAGTAGGTTGCCTTTTTCATTTTGTGGATGGTTTCCTCTGCTGTGCCCATACTGTCTTCATTAATCAGGGAAATCAGGAAGCATGATGCCTCCAGCTTTTTTCTCCTTTCTTAAGATTACTCTCGGGGAGCCTGGGTGGCTCAGTCGGTTAAGCATCCAACGCTTGATCTCAGCTCAGGTCTTGATCTCAGGGTCATGATTTCAAGCCCCATGTGGAGCCTACTTTAAAAAAAAAAAAAAAGATTACTTTGGGTATTCAGGGTCTTTCATGGTTCCATATAGATTTTAGGATTATTTGTTCTGTCTCTGTAAAAAATGCCGTTGCAATTCTGATAAGGATTGCATTGAATCTGTACATTGCTTCTGGTAGTATGGACAGCATAACAGTATTAATTCTTCCAGTCTATAAACACAGAATATCTTTCCATTTAAGCGTCTTCTCCAATTTCTTTCACCAATATCTTGTTGTTTTCAATATACAGCTCTTTCAACTTCTTGGTTAAATTTATTCCTATATATTTTATTCTTTTTGATGTAATTGTAAATGGGACTGTTTTCTTAATTTCTCTTTTTGATAGTTCATTATCAGTGTAGTATAGAAATACAACAGGGACACCTGGGCAGCTCATTCGGTTAAGCGTCTGATGATTTTGGCTCAGGTCATGATCTCATGCTTCATGAGTTTGAGCCCTGAATCAGGCTCTGCACTAATAATGCAGTGCCTGCTTGGGATTCTCTGTCTCCCTGTCTCTCTCTGCCCCTCCTCCACTTGCACTCTCTCTCTCTCTAATAAACTTAAAAGAAAAAAAGAAATATAACAGACTTTTGCGCATTGATGTTGTATCTTGCAACTTTATTGGATTTGTTTATTGGTTCTGACAGGTTTTTGATGGAGTCTTTAGGGTTTTCTGTATGTAATATCACGTTCTCTGCATTATAGCAACAGTGTTACTTCTTCCATTCCCTTTTTTTTTCAAAATTAAAAGACATTTATTCTCTCATTCACCATATTCACAGAGGAAAAGATTTATAACTTGTGTTTAACTTGATAGATTTAAGTATTTCTTCCTTTCCAATTCAGATGCCTTTTATTTCTTTTTCTTAGCTAATTGTTCTGACTACAGCTTTCAGTGCTATGTTGAATAGAAGTGGCAAGAGTGGGCATCCTAGTCTTTACCTGATCTCAGAGGAAAAGCTTTCACCAGTGGGTATGAGGTTAGCTGTGGGCCTTTATTACATGGAGGCACATTCCCTCTATACTTTGTTGACAGTTTTTATCATAAATGGATATTGAATTTTGTCAAATGCTTTTTCTGCATCTGTTGAGATGATACAATTTTTATCCTTCATTGTGGACATTGAACCATCCTTGCATCCCTGGAATAAATGCGACTTGCTTGTGGTGTATGATCCTTTTAATGTTTTATTGAATTCTGTTTGCTCATATTTTGTTGAGGATTTTTGCGTCTATGTTCATCAGGAATGTTGGCCTATAATTTTCTTTTCTTGGGGCATCTTCAGTTTGGGTATCAGGGTAATGCTGGCCTTGTGAAGTAAGTTTGGAAGAGTCATCTCTTCTGTCTTTTGGGCAAGTTTGAGAAAGATTGGTCCCTTAATTCTTTGTTGAATGTTTGGTAGAACTCACCGGTGAAGCTGTCTGGTCCTAGACTTTTGTTTGTTGAGAGGTTTTTGATTACCGATTCAATCTCCTTACCAGTAATTGGTCTGTTCAGATTTTCTGTTTCATCATGATTCAGTCTTGGTAGGCTGTGTATTTCTAAGAATTTATCCATTTCGTCCATGAAGTCCAGTAAGAATAGAAGAGATACTACTACCTACAGTTTACGTACTATATGTACACGTGAAAGCGTAAGATATTTCTGCTCCCTAAGAGCTAATTCTCTCCCCCTTCGGGGGCAGTATTGTCCCTGTTGAGAATGCACGACATAGGGTCTTATAGGCAGTTTTAAGGGATTTGTGTGCTCCAGAGTATATTTGAACTCAGAGTCATTCAAGACACTAGCTCTATAAAGTCCACACCCGGGGTTCCACCTCAGCGTCTACTAGACCGTCTCCAGCTAAAAATGTTGGAAACCGAACTGCTTATCCCCCTCCCCATCCCTCGACCCCTTGCTCAGGTCAAGGAAATGCAGTGGCATCTGAGACTCCTCTTTCTCTCATACTCCAACTGCTTCTCGCCCCTTCTCTGCTGTCGCCCCAGCCCAAGCCCGCACCATCGCTTACCTCGTCTGTTGCAGTGGCCTGCCACCTGGCCGTCTTGCTTCACCTCTGTTTCCCCAGTGCCTTCCAGGTCATAGATGCCCCACGGGAGAGGATGAAAGAGAGGAGAGGGGAGAGGGTGCTCAGGGTTGTCCCAGTGGGCTCCATGAACCAGAGGGAGGCAGGGGGAGCCATGGAGGAGCTGGACCTTCTCCCAGAGCTCCTGCCCCAGCCCGTGTCACTGTGGGAATACAGGGGATGTGAATGCCGATTCCTGGTGAGGCCTGTGCCCCTGGCCCTTCCTGCCACACCTGCCTCATTTCCTGCCCGTGCCAGTCTCCATCAGGCATTGACCTCATCGCCCTCTCGGCGCCCAGAGATGGCATCCTTCCTCATCAGACAGACACTGGGCTCCGTTCTCCCAGCAAATACTGCTGGGGGCTACTCTGTGCCCTCCTCTGAGTTCAGGCGAGGAAACGGACAAGTAGGACAAACTAGTGGGTGAAGCAGCCCAAGCACAGGCCCCCGTGTCCCCGCCACATTGAGCTCAGCCTTCAGCCCAGAGTTCAGGCAAGGGGTTCCCTGGGGCCTCCCCCGCCGTCCTTTCTCAGGGCCTCCTGTCCTCATAGCGTTTGCCCTCCGTGCAGTCAGATGCTTTGTGATCATCTCATTGCTGTCTCACCTACCAGCCTACAGGCCTTCTGTGGACAGACGCGTATCCGCATGGTCTGCTGCACTCTCCCCTGAGTCCGGCAGCCACCAAACCATAGGAACTCAATAAACATTTGTGAAAAAACAAGTGAATGTGAGATCCAGGGTGTGGAGCTCAGAGGAAGGAAGTTTGAACTCATTAGGGGCAGCCTCTCAGCGAAGGAGAGCGGGAGGGTGTGTGTGCCTGAAGGACACATTCTGACCGCCTAGCGATAATGCAGAGAAAGATGGGCACCTGGAACTCTCTAGAATGAGCACAGCCAGGCTGTTCCTCCGGAGCCTTTCTCTGGGCCTCTTATCTCAGTGGCCTTGGTGCAGCAGGGGAGGGAGATGCCAGGCCCTCTCATTGGCCAGAGTACACAGAGCACACTCCCCCATCACCGACCCTGGCATTTCAGGGTCACGGCCAGAGCCACATATGGAAGATGAGACGCTACTTTCGGGCTCTGGCAAGCAATGATGATTCTTTTGCTTTCCCTTCTAACAGCCCAGCTGCTGGGAGGCATTGTCATAGAAACAAGGCTTCTGGGGGGGGGGGGTTGGAAACCCCCCTTTTGCTTTCCCTGAAGTTCTGCTTCCTGAGTCTGAGGAGCAGGGAGAGGTCCAGCTCTCCCCATTTCTGCCCTCCCCTCTGGAAGGCTTCCTTTCGTGCCCCAGAAGGGAATAGGGACGCGCAGGTGTTTCTAGGCTTCAGCGGCATGGCAGGCTGTGGCTTCCAGGGCTGTGTGGACCCTCCACAGCCCCTCGTCACTCAGGCCCCTGGACCACTGTCTCTCTCAGGGTTCTGTCTCTGCATCTCCCTTCAGACTAGCTCAGGCTGGTCCCATGCCCTCTTCAGGGCCATCACCCCGACTTCAGCAAGATGGGGGTTGATGCTCTCTGACCAGAGAAAACCGTGGTGCTGGTTATGGTAAGAATTGGGGGGAGGGCAGGTGGGCTTTTGCAACAGGGCTGGGAGAGCTAAAGTGACCCACGCTGAAAGTCAAGTCAGGAGCTGACGGGTGCCCCTTGCACCACAGGCCACTCCAAATGGATACCTTTTCTCTAGATAGCATGCCCTTGTGCGCCTCTCGTGTTTCCCCAAACTCTCCAATTTCGTCCAAACCCAAGGCTCTTTCCCCTCATTTCTACCTGGTGAATAACTTCTTACCTTTAAAAGAACCAGCTCAGGGAGCCTGGCTGGCTTAGTCCGTGGAGCATACAACACCTGATCTAGGGGTTGTCAGTTCGAGCCCCACAGTGGGTGTAGAGCCTACTAAAAAACATTTTTTTTAATAGTTTTTTATTGTTTTTTACACTTATTGATTTTTTGAGAGACAGAGCACAAGTTGGGGAGGGGCAGAGAGAGGAGACACAGGATCCGAAGCAGGCTCCAGGCTCCGAGCTGTCAGCACAGAGCCTGACGTGGGGCTCAAAATCACAAACCGTGAGATCATGACCTGAGCTGAAGTTGGACGCTTAACCGACTGAGCCACCCAGGTGCCCCTAAAAAACATTTTTAATAAAAAATAAATAAAAGAACTGGCTTAGAGCTAGAGTCCCCCTGACCCCACCTCACCCCACCAAAGGGTGTGAATTTTCTTTGGGCTCCATAGCCATTTGCATTAACCAAAGCACCTCCGTGTCTCCCGGTCATTTCTTTGCTTGGCTGTGTTCACTACTAGACCATGAACTCCCTGGAGGCAGAGACTACCTGGGTCTTATTCATGTCTGTAAAACTGGAGCCAAGCCCAGTGCCTGGCACTCAATAGGTGCTCCATGTTGGGGCCTTCACGAAAGAACGTCTCCGGAGAGGCTCCATAGGAAAGATGGCCTCTGGGAGAGGCCTTGAAGAGTGTAGGATTTTGACAGTGTCCCATACAGGAGGGCCAGGGGGACGTTTTTCTTCGTGTGTTTTCTTGTCTGTTATCTGTGTCATCATACTAGAAAGGAAGAAGCACTGGGATGGGGACATTGTCTTTTGTGTCCCCGAAGCTTGTGCAGTACCTAGCACAGAGTGAGCATCTAGCATCTATTTAGTGGATGAGTGGATAAGGTTCTGCCAGAAAAGTCTTCATGGAGGAGGTGGGGTTTGGGGGAATCTTTGAAGGAAGCAAGAGAAGGAGTTTCTGGGTCCAGGAGAAGTGAATTTGAAATGAGGAAAGGTACGGGGCGCCTGGGTGGCTCTGTCGTTGAGCGTCCAACTTCAGCTCAGGTCATGATCCCGTGATCCGTGAGTTCGAGCCCCGCGTTGGGCTCTGTGCTGACAGCTCGGAGCCTGGAGCCTGCTTTGGATTCTGTGTCTCCCTATCTCTCTGGCCCTCCCCCATTCATGCTCTCTCTCTGTCTCAAAAATAAATAAACATTAAAAAAAAAAAAGAAATGAGGAAAGGTGACTGTGGAGCAGTGAGGAAGGGGTTCCCCAGGGAGGCAGCAAAGTGGACAGACAGAATTGAGGGGGTCAGGGACCCAGGCGTTATCTGGAGCAGGGCTCTGAGATGAAGGCTCAGGCATGGGAGCTCTGGCAGGTAGTAGGTCCTTCACGACCTGAACAGCAGGATGTGGTCACCTTCCCTGGGTATAAACAGGGCCCTGCCCTGTGCTGGTGCACGTACAGGAGTGTGGCCCTCAGCAGGCGGCTCCTGGACCGGGACACTGAGGACAGGGAGAGGGGGACCAAGGTCTCCCAGGCGTCCTGGTGTAAGGATAGAGGTGCTGACTGTTGAGTTAGGAAGAGACACGGCAAAAGCACTCTGTGTGAACTGTAAATCTGATGAACAGCCTGGACCCTCAGGGGAGAAAGGGAGAAGGAAACTCCTAGGGAATGAGGCCTTGGAAGCTTCCATTCAGCTCCAGGCTTTATCCTAAGAGAAGTCATCTGGGCTGAAAACCAAGACAGGCCTCTGTCCCACACACCAGGCGGGGGTGTCTGGGCCACGTGTTAGCCAGCAGGGAAAGCAGGGTGTCCTGGGTGGCCCATGCTGCCAGCCTAGGGACATGTCTGCGAACCTGCCTGGCAGACAGGGAGACACATGGTATGCTTTTCTTATTTGCACTCAGCAAAAATTAGGAAGCACCTCATTTCCCAGGATCTGCCCAGGGGCAGTCATATACCCGCTGTGACTGAGTCTTTGTGGCTACCTGACAGGGAGAAGTCCTAGGTCTTTTTATAGCTGAGAACACCGAGGCTCTGAGAAGGACTCCCTCAGTGCTACCCACTGAGCAACTGAGGGCGTGTTGCAAACTGCTATCTCTTGTCATTCCAGAAAATTCCACAGCCAGTGTGAGCGAGGCAGAAAGGAAGGCCCAAGTATACTACCGTGCATGTATGAATGAAACCAGGATCGAGGAGCTTAAGGCCAAGCCCCTGATGGAGCTGATTGAGAAGGTGAGTTCTTGGAGCAGGCTCTCATGGATCTCTTCCAGCCTGAGCCACCTGCCTCCGCCCCTCTGGCTGCCACCCCAGCTCTCAGGTACCACTGGGGCCTGGCAACCTCACGTCTCCAACCACCACACCCAGCTGGACTGTAGAACCTGTCGGGGCTGAGTGTGTCTGAGTGTGTGTGTGTGTGTGAGTGTGTGTGTGTGTGTGTGTGTGTGTGTGTGCACGTGCTCATGTGTACGCATGCGTCTCTGTGGGTGGGAATATCTGTATTTGTGTCAGGGTACGCGTCAGCACCTGTTGTGGATGTGTGCCACACGTATGTATGCCTCTCTGCATCTGTGTGTGGGATGGGGGCCGTATTTATAGAAAAAGCATTTCTCTACCTTGTTGATTCCCTTTCCGCAGAGGGTGTGTTTTTGTGAAGAGGGGTATGTTCCAGAAGGACCAACTGAAAGTCTCAGATCTGAAGCAGAACCCCCTCCCCCCCGCCCCAGGGCACCTGGGTGGCTCAGTTGGTTGAGCGTCTGACTCTTGATTTCCGCTCGGGTCCTGATCCCAGGTAGTGGGCTCAAGCCTTGTCAGCTCCGTGCTGAGCGTGAAACCTGCTTAAGATTCTCTCCCTCTGCCCCTCTCCCCACTGTCTTTGTCTCTCTTTAAAAAAAAAAAAGAAGAAGAAGAACCCTCTCCTCCCCCATGAGGAGGGCCCCAGTTACCCCAGGCCTCCCATTCTCTCACAGGGGAGGACTCTTTCTTGCTGGGCACCTCCCAGTCAGCCTTGGATGGACTCTGCAGGGGCTGCCTATGACTGGCTAGGCTGCCTGACACCCACAGAGGGTGGCCATGGATGTTTCCCAGCTGTCTCATTCTCCCTCAGGGCCCTGCCTCCTGGCTTGGCTCTGAGAAGTCATTGCAGCAGGATGGGGAGCTGTGGACACCGGAGACCAGACAGTCCTCCCCTCTGGCACTGGTCCCACATGCCAGTGTGTGCCAAGCCAGAGACACCGAGGAGATTACAAAATCCCATCTCCGGGGCACCTGGATGGCTCAGTTGGTAGAGCATGCGACTCTTGATCTCGGGGTCGTGAGTTTGAGCCCTGTGTTGGGTATAGAGCCTACTTGAAAACAAAACTCCCAGGGGCACCTGGGTGGCTCAGTCGGTTAGGCATCTGACCTCGGCTCAGGTCATGGTCTCACGGTTCATGAGTTTGAGCCCTGCGTCGGGCTCTGCACTGACAGTGTGGAGCCTACCTGGGATCCTCTCTCTCATGCTCTAAATAAGTAAATAAATAAACAAACAAACAAACAAGTAAACTTAAAAAAAAAAAAAAAAAAGAGTCCAAGCTCTGAGAGACACTAGAGACCATGGCTTTATCAACCTTTTTAAAAATACGGAGACTTTTTTTTTCCGTAGGCACAATTGAATTTTGTGCACAACTGAATCCACATGAGTCAGTATTCAAAAAGTGAACAGGGTGTGGGAGAAGTCTCCTTTCCATCCCCATCCCCAAGAGAGCAGCTGCCACGTGGATTCATTGCTCGCTCATTTAGGGCAAATCTCGTTCCACCCAGCATCTCCTGTTGCTGGTCAGACACACTCGACGAAGACCATCCCTTTCATTTGCTCTTGAGGCTCAGAGAGGTCAGATGACTGCTCCGGGTCACAGAGCAAGTCCGTGGCAGGAGCAGAATTCACACCCGGGTCTCCTGCCACCTGTTCACCTCCCCCTTCCCTCTCTCTGCCCGCAGCTAGGGGGCTGGAACATCACAGGTCCCTGGGACAAGGACAACTTCCAGGACACCCTGCAGGTGGTCACCTCCCACTACCGCACGTCTCCCTTCTTCTCTGTCTACGTCAGTGCCGACTCCAAGAATTCCAACAGCAACGTGATCCAGGTGAGCTGGCCTGGGTCCCCAGGAAGATGAATGGGCATGTTTTGCATTTAACCTGTTCTGAGTTTTGCAAGCGCCGGAGTAAGGGCAGACTTGCCCTGGGCGACAGGCCTCTGGTTTCTGGGCCTGGATTATTTCTGGAGACTCTGAACCGTGAGATTTTTGTCAACAACAAGTCACGAAAGAGCAGGCTGCCGTCCTCGGGTAGGTGGGGTCAGTGCAGCACAGACGGGTCTCCGGGGTTCTGATCGGTCACCGTGGGCCCCCAGAGTGATGCCAACTCCTGGACACAGCTAAAGCCCCCTCCCGGTTCCCTCACCTCAGCCTCCGCCCTTTGTGGCTCTGCTTGGAATGGCTTGGAGTCCCTCTCTTCCTGCCGGAGCCTGCCCTGAACTTTGTATCGGCACCCCCAGGGAAGCCCCGGCCCTGATCTGCCCACCCTCAGATGAGGAAGCGAGGAGCCCGGGCTGGGGGCCGTGAAGGCCGAGTTCCCATCCAGTTCTGCCTCTCACTCAGCATGTGACCTCGGGCAAGTGCTTCAACCGCTCTGAGCTGCAGTTTCCTTCCCAATCAAACGAATTGTAACAACACCTCCTCTAGGCTCCGAGAGTTGCTGTCAGGAACTGACCCTCCCCTACCTGCCAGACCCTCAGCACGTCCTCCCTTGGCTCTCTCCTTTGAGTCCTCATTCCAGCTCTGAGGGCTAGTCATTATTTCCCCTATTTTCCATGCGAAGAACCTAAGGACCAGAAAGGTTCAGTGACTTGACTAAGGCTACAGGGGTCTTAACCACTGCACTGTCTTGGGAAGTGTTTAATTAAGTAGAAGTGCCATGCCAAGCCTCAGAGGTGTTTAGAGGGAGGGTGGCTCTAGCCCTTCGGAAGGGCCCAGAATCCCCGTGTCCGGGCAGCTATGCAGCCAGACATGTGTCTGTTCCCACGCCGGCTGGCCCCACCCCAGAGGGGTCCTCCGCTACCAGCTCCTGCTCTGGCTGGGACCCAGGCCGGTCCTGTGTTGCCATGTGCCAGCTGTCCCCACAGCAGGCGGTGTGTATGTGCGACAGGAGACCCCCTGTCACTCCTGCCTTTCTCTCCAGGTGGACCAGTCTGGCCTGGGCTTACCCTCAAGGGACTATTACCTGAACAAAACTGAAAACGAGAAGGTGAGTGTGCTTCTTCAGAGAGAGTGGCTCCCAGCCCACACCCTGTGACGTTTTACCCTCTCAGTGTCCCCTCCGCATCACACCTGTGTGGGTCTTTGAAGCTGGAGTTGCACTGAGGAATCAGTTATCTGATGGATGATAGATAGACCCTGGCAGAAACAGACTAGCTGTTTCCCATTCAGGCATCGTGGGCACAATAGGCAGGGGATGGACAGGTGTCTTTTGTCCCCACTGTAGAGTAAGACAGCAGTAATGGCCATGGCCATCTGTGGGTGCTAAGCCTCTTATATACTCACCTCTTCCCCCCGCCCCCCCAGTAACCCCACAGATACAGAACGTCTCTGAACTTCATTCACCTCATCTGCCATGTGGGTATTATTTTTACCTTGCCTTTTATAGAGGAGAGAACAAGGCCCAGAGATGCTAAGTGACCCGCCCAAGGTCACATAGGGGTGAGGCTGAGATTCACATCCAGACCTACTAACTCCAAAATCCATGCCTCTCATGATGTCCCAGAGAAACCTCGTCTGTGGTTCATCGTGTCTCCATTCATCCTGCCCACTTGTATTGGGCGTGCACCTACCAAGTGCCTGATGCTGGGGGGAGAGTGGGGACTGAGACAGTCATGGTCCCCGCTTAGAGTCTAGCAGGGGAGGCAGACGTTAATGAACTAACCACCCAGTTGGAGGCATAATGACAAATTGTGATAGCTCAAGGGTGAGCTGAGAAAGTCAAACACGGGAACCTAATTCGGATCTGGGGACATGGTAGAGGAGGGCAGCTCAGAAAAAGCGTGTTGTAAGAACTGAAGGTTGGTCTGTGGGTAGCTTTCCCATGATGGGCGTCCGAGCGGGAGTGTGGGTGGGGAACAGCAGGGACCCCCACCCACTCGAGCACCTGAGGGCTTCGTGCCGAGTTCCGTGGGCAGCCGGTCTGCGGACTTCCCGCACTGGGCTGGCCCTGCCCCACCCGCCACCCGTGTCCAGCGTGCAGCAGGTGACACGACTGACAGACTGCGGGTGCTGGGCCCACAGGTGCTGACGGGATACCTGAACTACATGGTCCAGCTGGGGAAGCTGCTGGGTGGAGGGGACGAGGCCACCATCCGGCCCCAGATGCAACAGATTCTGGACTTTGAGACGGCACTGGCCAACATCACCATCCCCCAGGAGAAGCGCCGGGACGAGGAGCTCATCTACCACAAAGTGACAGCTGCCGAACTGCAGGTAACGTGAGCTCCGGTTGACGTGGAGCCCGGGGCAGGCGCAGGGCTTCAGGACGTAGGGTGCTGGGCTGGAGCTTTTATACCCACTTCATCAGGTCCCCAGAACAACCCTAAGGAGCAAGGATGGTTGTCGCCCCAGTTCACAGATGGGAAAACTGAGGCTCAGAGAGGCTAAGTTATCTGCTGAAGGCCACATAGCTTTTCTGTAACAACAGCATTTACCTGGGGAGGCTCTGTGGTCATGACGATAATAGCTCACACTGATTGGGCATTTCCATGCTCAAGCCCCAGTCACATCGAGCCTGGTGTATATACAGCAAACAATAGACCTGAGAGGTGGGTTCTGTAGTCACTTCTCCCTTTTCCAAGCCAGGAGGTTAAGTGACATGTTCAAGGCCCTGAGGCTCCCTAAGTGCCAGGGGAGCTGGACATTGGACTCACGCGTGGCTCATGGCATCTCTGTTCTTGACCACGATCCCTGGCAACCTCCTGGAGGTGAGAGGGGGTTTCTCTCTGTTACCGGGTGTAACCCATTGGAAAGCAAGTGGCCCCTCTGCTGAAGGCTGCCCCCTGGTGGCTCCTTGAGGCTTGCAGGTGGTGAGTTGACTGCCAGTTCCGTTTTCCCAGTTCACTGTGTGTTGGCGTCTGGCTTTATCCCAGGTCCCCAGGGTCGCAGAGGAATCAGCAAGGTGGCCTTGGCCAGTCTTCCTGTTTCCTGCCATTGCCTAGGAAGGCTCAGTGAGGCCTGCTTCTCCGCTGGGGAGGGTGACTAGGCCACTGTGTAGGGGTTCTACCGAGATGTCTCCTCCCTCCTTGTCTACCTTGACCAGCCAGGTCCCGCCCACCCATTGGAGTTGGCTCATGCGCTCTCCTTTCAGAAAGAACACCTCGGTCCCTACCCTTTTTCACCCTCCATTCCTTGCTCTGACAGGTATAGGGCCACCGTCAGGGCCTTGCTCTGGAGGTACTTCCAGGGTAGAGAGGAACACCAACCAGGAAGCAGTCCCAGACTGCTGAGTGCTCTGGGTGAAAGAAGGAGGGCACTAGGACCCGAGTAGGGGGAAGTCAGGGAAGATGAGTGGGATGTGTGGGAGAGGATGTCCCAGGTGGAGATACAGCCCAGGCAAAGCTGGGATGAAGGTGAGAGAGTCTCTTCTGGGTGCCAGCTGCCCTTCGGGTCCCCGGAGGAGCTGGCATCGGGGTGAGTGGTGTGCGTGGGTTGTTACAGACATCAGCAGCCTGTGTTGGGGACCATCTGGCACCGTGTTGCCACTCTGAGGCCCGGAGGTCAACGGAGATGCTGTCTGTGCAGTGTGATTTGGTTTGCTCCAGCTGTCCACTTCTCAACGCAAGAAGGGCCCCAGCAGCAGCCCAGCCCCCCACGGTGGCCATAATGCCAACCGACCACCTCCAGGGAAGCAGAGGAGACACAGTAGCCCTGAGCACATCTGCCCCAGCGTGGCTTCCGGGCTCTACCCCAGGGCACCTTATAACATTGCTTTTGCTCTGATCTTCGAGCAAGACAGGAAAGGCTTTTCCTCCCCCGCTGCTGCAGAGCCCTCCAGGTAGGGCAGGACTTTAGCAGAGGTACAGGCCCTGGGCTTGGAGTCAGAAGACTGCTCTGGCCCAGCCCCACTAGGAGCTGTGTGACCTTGGGCAAGTCACAAGACCCCCACGTGAGCCTTTGTTTCCTTCCTCACTCATTCACACCTGCTTTATTCCAGAACACAAGAGACAAATGAGAGGCAGCCCCTGTCCCCATAAGGTGCACTGGTTCTTTAGTCACAGAGTTCTTTGAGAACAAGTTGAAAACTCTGGAGTGTCTCCCAGGGGAACAGGGCATGTGTGCATATTAAAAAATTATGTCTAGCATTTAAAAATTAAGTCCTGGACCCCTGAAACCTAGTATCCTCCAAAAGAATCTCTTCCTGGCCTGCCCACAGGGCTTAAGAGGATGAGATGAGACAAAGGATGAGATTTCATTTTGTAAGCTCATGTGCACAATTCAAATGTACTGTAGTAATCGTCATTCGTGTCATTCCTTTGTTGTTGATGATGCCAGCCCACGTCTCTAACACTAAACCAATTTGATTTATTCCAGCCTTGGACAGAGAAGGCCTTGCTATTCCCTGGTAGCTGGAAATTTGGTTTTCTTCCTATACCCCAGGTGACTCAGGGAAAGGTGTGCCAGCCTTCACAGTATGTGTCCAGGCTAACCCCACCAGAATAGAGTGGTTCCAGGCCAGCCCCCATCAGAGTCTGAATTCAGAGCCACAAATCAGACATCCTTCTGTTCCTTCTCTGGGGGCCTGAGGCCCTTCTCATTCCTTTCTAAGACCTTCCATATCAGAAGTTGTTTGAGGGGTGCCTGGGTGGCTCAGTTGGTTAAGCGTCCGACTCTTGGTTTCAGCTCAGGTTGTGATCTCACAGTTGCATGAATTTGAGCCCCGCACCGGGCTCTGCGCTAAAAGCATGAAGCCTTCTTGGGATTCTGTCTCTCTCCCTCTCTCTGCCCCTCCCCTGCTCGCTCTCGCTCTCTCTCTCTCTCTCTCTGTCTCTCTCAAAATAAATAAACTTAAAAATTAAAAACAAGAAAAAGTTGTTTGAGCATGAGTCCTGTCCTCTGCTCTAAATTCTCCAGCTGAGATCATGTTTGATAGCATCTTCCTTTTCTCTCTTATTTTGCAAGCCTACTTGAGCTGGCTGGTTGGTGACCAGCAGTACTCTTTGGCTGCAGGTTTGGAAAATAGAGCTGACTGGTGTGCCCCAAAGGATTTGAGTCACAAGTGGAATGTCCCAGTCAGTTAAAACAGCCATCTCTATGGAGACAGATCTAGGCACACATGTTTAAGTTAGGCGTTCACTAAAGCAAGATTGAAAATGTGAAAATTCTGTTCAACACACACCTTATCTGGGGTTATGGGAATTTGCCTGCATGGAACACCTGCTCTCCCTGACGAAACAGGCGTGTGTCAAGTGCACAGGGATTTATCACCACCTGATGTCTGTACCCTGATTAGAATGTTCCAGTCGCCTGCAGTTTGTGAAGCTCTCGTTCATTGTGTAAACCATGACATTTTGTAAACCTGGTGAATTTCCCAGGCGTCTTTGCCAACAGATCATGCAGGCAGGTGTCTCTAAGCGTTGAGCCCTATTTGACCGTCTCACCTGGACACCTCCCAGTTTTGCAGCCACAGAAATTGTTAAAGAGAAGCCCCAGAGGTTACCTGCCTAGGGGATTCTTGCCAGAGAGAAAGAGTTAATGGACAAGCTAGGGGGAAAGGCAGCTCAGGTTTAAAGAGCAGGCCATCCCCACAAGGTACAGAGCAGCCAACCACGGTGAGGTGGGCGGGGGGGTGCAGAATGTTGTCCCCATTTTATTTGTATTTATATTTGTGTTGGGGGGGGCCCATTTTAGAGAAAAGCTACAGAACGGCTTGAGGTCCCAGAACAAGTTCATGGTGAGGACTCTGATCCATGTCTCCTCTTGGAGTCGGGTGGGCAGGGATGTGCGGGAGCCCGCCGGGCACGCCTCTTTGGAATCCTGTCTAGAGCATCTCTGACAAAAACCACCACAGGTAGTTTGCGGTAGGTCCTGATGCCACTACGAATCGCCTCCCTGCCCCCCCAAGAGCTGGCACACCGCTGCCTGTGGGAGCTGACCTCTTCTGTCCTCGGAGGTCCTTATTCCCCAAGAGCTGAGTTGCCCTTTGAAACCAGAGAGACGAGGGAGCCTAGAGTTTAGACCTGCACAGTCACTAGCTAACTACGTGAACTCAGAAAGGTCACCTTAGCTCATCTGCAAAGTCGGCATCTGTTAAGGGGAGGGCTTTACGACTGCTTTCTCACTGAGGGTATCGTAGGTAGTTACCAACAGGTTATAGGTTCATCTGATGTTGTAGATTGATTTTACATTGTACATTATTGATCGATCTTACCATATGAAGGCCGATTGTAATGTGTCTCTTGCAGCCTTTGTCTTCAGTTCTGCCCTTTTGCAAGGGAACAGAGAATAGAATTTATAATCCTTCAAGCCCAGGCCCACGCTTGGGAGACCTTGAGAATGATTACGATAGTTAATATCGATTGAGTGCTTGTTAAGTGCTGGCTACCATTCTCTGTGACTGACACATATCATATAACACAGTATATGTTTGCATCTTGTAAAATTACAGGGCGAAAAAGTAAGAACAACAGGTCGTGTGGGAGAAATAGGACTTAGAGAGTTCCAGGGCCCTGCAGTTTATGAAGCTCTCATTAATTGTATAAACAACTCCAATTAGATTCAAAAGTTGTGCCACTTGAAAGACATCACGCTAAGTGAAACAAACCAGTCACAGAGACAAATACTGTATGGTTCCACTTACACGAGGTAGCAGGAGCCGCCAAATTCATAGAGACAAAAAGTAGAATAATGGTTACTGGGGGCCCAGTAGGGAGGGAACTAGGGGGGATTCTTGTTTAATAGGTGCAGAGTTTCAGTTTTGCAACATGGAATCTGGAGATGGACGGTGACGGTACTTAATGTCGCTGAACTGCATGCTTAAAAATGGTTTCGATGGTAAACTTTATGTTTGTGTATTTGACCACAGTTAAACCCAGAAGTTGTGCAAGTTTGTAACCAAAACAATAACTGGAACCTGGAGAGAGCTCAGCACGCCTGGAGGCTGCCTGGCGGGCAGTGGAGGAAGGCTGTTGTGGACACAGAGACCGTGCAGGCAGATGGGCTCTGTGCAGTGGGGCTGCTGCCGCTAGGCGGGCTGAGAGCAGGCTACCTGCTCGAAGCTGGGAGTTACTCGAAGCCGGAGTGCAGAGGGAGCTCTGGCATCGGCCGTCGTTTTAAATGATCTTACGGGCACCTGGGTGGCTCAGTTGGTCAAGCATCTGACTCCTGGTTTAGGTTCAGGTCATGATCCCAGGGTTGCAAGGTGGAGGCCCGTGTCGGGCTCTGTGCTGAGGGTGGAGCCTGCTTAGGATTGTCTCTCTCTCTCTCTCATTCTCTCTCTCTCTCTCTCTCTCCCACCCCCTGGCCTCTCTCCCCAGCTCATGCACTCTCTCTCTCTCTCTCTCTCTCTCTCTCTCTCTCTAAAAAATAAAAATAAATAATAAAAAATAAATGATCATAAAATAGAGCTGACCAGCCAGCCTCCTGTGCATCAGCAGAGCGGGGGACTTTTCCTTTCTTGCTGGAGGTTGTCAGTCTAAGCTTATTTTTTCAGATCCCGTGCCCAGGAAAAATCACCTGTGGCCCGAAGCATTTGCACATTATACTGCTATCATTCTCGAATTTACCGGTCGTATAGCCTAATCACCTAGTAATTGGTATTATGGAAGTGCATGTTGAATGGAACAGACAGCATTAACCTGTTTAATCCTTACACTAACCCCATGGCGTGAGTTCTGTTATGATGAGGAGATCCCTTTTCAGACGAGACCCCGAGGCACAGAGTGGTTCATCCACTTACTCAAGGTTACACAGCTAGTAAGTAAGAGAGCTGGAATACGAACCCAGGCGGTTTGGCTCTGGACGCTACACAGCTTTCCGTTATAGGCCCGTCTGGGCTCAGTTTCTTCATCCATACACTGGGGACAGTGGCGCCTCCCACCGAGGCCTCTCATGAGGTCCCGCTGAGAGAAGACGTGTGAGTCGTTTGCAGTGGTACCTGGCACAGGAGGGGCTTGCAGAATGGTAGCTACTGCTGCTGTCACTGTGTCCCCTTTATTCCGTCCCAGCTCCGTTTCAAGTTGAAGTTGGTGTTTGGCTCCTTAGAATTCTGTCGAGAGCATCTCTGACAAAAGCCAGAGACCTCAGTTCGACATCTGCACAGGGCGCTGTCCGTGCCCAGCTCTTCGGAGGCATGGTGCCGCCTTCCTCGGAAGAGCACCCTGGAGCCTTGGGCGTGGAGGAGAAACAGCCCAGCCAGAGTCACACGGTCTCTTCCCTTCCAGGCCTTGGCGCCAGCCATCAACTGGCTGCCCTTTCTCAACACCATCTTCTACCCCGTGGAGATCAATGAGTCCGAGCCTGTTGTTGTCTACGACAAGGAGTACCTGGGGCAGGTCTCCACCCTCATCAACAACACGGACAAATGGTAAGGGACGGCCAGGCAGCCCTTGGGGTCACACCCTCCCGCTGCTGCTGCTGTCCTCTTCTCCCGCCAGATAGGTGTGGCCAGCGGGTGACAGACTGACTCAGGAGCGTGGGCCCTGAGGAGAGGCAGCCCTTCAAATCCCAGCCCCTCCCCCCACCAGCTCTGTACCCTTGGGCAAGTTTCTCGCCCTCTCCTGGTTCATGCTCCCCATCATAAAATGGGGCTGGAAACAGCACCTACCTGGTAGGGATCCCAGAACCGGGTGAGAGTATGACTTGGAATGGGGCTCGGTGAATGTTCGCTCATATTTGTAGCTAATACTTCTGATTTTTTTTCATTTTAAAGATTTTTTGGAGAGGTTTTTGAAAACTACAGAAAAAATAGAAAAAACTTAAACTTACCCAAACACTGCTGTTGATTCTATGGGGTGTGTGTGTGCGCACGTGTGTGAGGGAGAGAGAGGTGAATTTTCTAATACATGGTTCCTTTTTTCCCCATTGTTGTGACCACATGTGTAATCTGCTTTTCTCTTGACCTTTGTCGAGAGCATTTTCCCCATGTTATCCCGCACTCTCTGTGGACCTCATTCTTCACGGCTGCACAGTATTCCACCAAGTATACATATGATTATTTACTCAACCCTTCCCCTATTGTCAGACATTTAGGTTGGTTCCAGTTTGAGGCTAGATGCTCACTGTTGTGAACATCTCTTTGTACCAAGGTGGCTTCTTTGCAAAGGTGACAACAGCCACAGAGGATTCTCTGTGCCCTGAGGGAGGGGGCAGTGAGCTCTTTCACGCAGACCATGGAGGAGCTGGCCAGGGCTTCCTTTCCTGCCCCTCCTATTCTTAAGGCCCCTTTCCTGACGCTGGTCCTCTGGCCAGGACATCTCCAAGCTGGGGACATGGCAGCCTCCTCCCTGCTCCAGCCCAGCAGTACACAGCATCCAGGGGGCATCTCCATGCTGCTCTTCCACGGCTTCCAGACAAAAAGCAGCTATGCAACAAGCGTGTATTGAGGACGTGTGATGTACAAATCACCTCCCTAGGCACTGAGGGGTTTTCAAAAGAGGACCCAGGCTCTGCCTTGAAGAGCTGACATTCCCAGTAAGTGAGCAGTAACCTGCCAGACTGGGGCAGGTCGGGGAAAGAGCCTGCTAGCCGAAGGCCGGTTCTGAGCGCCCCCTAAAGGTCAGTGGGGGAAGTGCTGTGATGCTCTCAGCTCTGGACCCTTCTGAGCGGTCTGATCTCTTGCCCCAGCCTGCTCAACAACTACATGATCTGGAACCTGGTGCAGAAGACAAGTTCCTTCCTTGATCAGCGCTTTCAGGACGCCGACGAGAAGTTCATGGAAGTCATGTATGGGACCAAGAAGGTGAGCCTCTGTGACTGCATTCCTGTGCACGTGCTGAGTACCTACTGTGTGCCAGGCCCTGGGTTGGAGGCTCTTGTGACCTTAGTGTCCTCTAGGGCCATGGAACTCATGAGGGAGGATCTAAGCTAGTTGGGGATGGACAGAAGCTTCCAGAAGGAGATGATTACATCCAATCTTAAAGGGTAAAGAGGAATCTTAGAGAGTTAGCTACTTTACGGCAAAAGGTGGCTTCTGTTTTCTTCCTTCCAACTCCTTCTCGATGCTGGTGATAATAAACGCTTTCCTGTAACTCCAGTGATCTTAATATCCCTATGAGGTGGGTGTGATCATCATCCCCATTTTATACAGGGGACCTCCAGTAATACTGCTGCTTCTCCATAAACATAAAACACTCGGTGCAGCACCTGGTTCATGGTAAGTCCGCACATGTGTTCACTGCTGTCGTGCTCCCTGGCCCCGAGGGCCCATTCTTCCAGAGGTCCCAGGGCTCCAGGACCCTCACTCCCCCCCTTCTCAGGGCCCCACCCTAGGTGGGAAGTTTCCCAGACACTTCCACTTTTTCCCCAAGGAGGTCACCCTCTCATTCATGTAGCCCACAGACATGTATTCATAGGACATGAGTCCCTTGTGGGAACACAGAGACAAGTGAGGTGGCATCTGTGCCCCAAGAGCCCACATCGTGAGGTCCTCATATGTGCTGATGGGACGCACACCAAGTCATGGCCCCAGGGAGGTGCCCCAGCCATAGACCAATAGAGGGCGAGGTGCTAAGCTTACCCAGTGCAGCCACCCAGGACAGCAGCTAGCAAGACCCTAGGGGACGAGCAGAACTGGCTCCGGCCGCCCTGCCCCATGGCCCTTCCTAGAGTCCAGTGTAGTAGACAGAGCCGGATAAGGGCTGGCAGAGAATGGTGGGATGTGGGTGCTGGCCTCCGGTCCTAGAGTTCATCCTGGGAAGAGTTCTCCTTTTCTTTACCCTCCCCATATATACCCACCTCTGGCAGGAAGGGGACGGAAGGAGAGGGTGGCTGGGAACAGGCCCTGCTCCTGACAAGAGGGGCCTCTGAGGGCACCAAAGGACCTCAGCCATGAGAGCCACGTGGCCCTGCAGAGAAGGACCAGGGGAAGGATTGGCTGCTTTGCTCAGCTGACCCGCCTTCTTGCTCCACCTGTACCTACCTTGGACCGGCCCTGGGTGAGCCCTGGGTCACAGACATGACGAGACATGGACTCTGTCCCCTGGAGCACTTGGCTTCCCACGGGACTTTATTCAGGAAGGGTCTGACCAGGACTGGGGATGGTAGTTACAGAGATGCCTCTGTGTGGGGATCATGTACCTGCATCATTGCTTACCCACTGGGTACAGATGAGGAAACAGGCTCTAGGTGGTGAAGGGTTTCCCAAGTCACCCAGCAAGGAGGCAGCCAAACTCCAATTCAAACCCAGCTCTGGATGACGGCGACATCTTGGCACTTTCAGCCACTCGCTAATGCTAACGATGATCATCATCATAATAAAAGACATCATTACTAGATGTTGCCTTTTGTAGGCATTATGTCACCAAGTTCCTATAACAGCTCTGTGTGTTCGGAACTATTATCATCAGCCCATTTTATAGATAAAGAAACTGAGGCTCCATGAGGGGAAAGGACGATTCAAAGTCACACAGCTCATTAGTGGCGAGTGGGTTCTCAAACCTAGCACAGTTGATTCCACAGCCCCCACCCGAACTCTGCTCCACTCAGCCTCTGCTCTGCAGAAGCCAGAAGTCAAAATTGAGCTTCCTGGTGGTTGCCAGGGGCTGGGGGCAGGGAGGTGGGCATGGGGAGTTGTTCAATGGGTAGTTGTTCAATGGGTGTGAAGTTTCACATTTGCAAGATGAAAAGTTCTGGAGATTGGTTGCACAGCAATGTGAATATGCTTAGCACCACTGACCTATACACTTAAAGCAGCTGGAATGGTAAATCTTCTGTGTATTTTACCATGATAGGTAGGTAGGCAGGTAGGTAGGTAGATAGATACATAGATACACAGGGAGAGCTTCCCTGGGCGAGTCTCAGAGTGCAGAGTGCTGCTCTAATCAGTGGGATGCTAAGAGCTGGTGGAGCCCAGAAAGGCTTTGCCAGAAGCCAGGGCAACTGGGAGCCCCTAGAGGTGGGAGGCTGTGAGCCAGGGTCACGATATGCCCCATGCATGGTATACGGAAACAGCCCAGAACTTTGGTCAGAAGATCTGTGTTTGAAATGCTTCTTCTAACCATACAGCCTTGGGCAAATCACTTCATTGGAGCAGAAGACTCAGTCTTCCCAAATGTAAAAAGGAATACTTAATCCCTGCCCTGCCCTACTGACCAGGGCACCGTCTGGGATTACACAAAGGTGTTCCCACAAAGTCTGTCCTAAAGGCTAAAGCACTCCACACCCTGCACTTTATCTGCAAAGAGGAGCACAGAACCTGCCTCGTGGGGTTATTATGAGGATTATATGAGCTGTGGCCCACACCCGATAAACACTCAGCTGGCACACACTAGTCTTGCTGCCATTGTTGCTGTTATTATGTGTCTGACTCTCCCCCTGGGTGCTCTGGGCGTTTCTATTGAGCCCCTTGAAGGCAGAGCTCACGGCTGATTCGCCTCTAGGTTCCAAGCACCTAGTGCTCTCAGGGTGCAAAAGAACTGCCCAGAGAGCACTGGGCATGTGAATGAATGAGTGAGCGAATGAATGAATGGGTTTATGCAAAAGCTCTCCTGAGAAGGCAGTAAGACTCAGCCCCTGACTCAGCCATCAGGGCCTAGGGCCCCCACGGAGCCTGGGAGTTCGAGTCTCCCTCCCCCCCAGTCCTGACCTTCTGCGTGGGTGGCCTCGGCCAGATCTGGGCACAGCCATGTCCAGCTGTGGGAGGGCACAGCATCTAAATGGACACATGGGTGGGAAAGCTTAAAAGAACTTGGGCCACACAACTTGTGGAAGGCTGAGATGCCTTTTACTTCCTCCCCTTCTTCCTTCTTTCCTGGAAGAAATTTCTTTAAGGTAGAATTTACGTACCGTAAAATGAACGGGGTACACGAAGTACACAGTGTAGCGAGTTTTGACAAATGAAGTCGCCCATGTAACCAGCACCCCAATCGAGATAGAGAACATTCCTGTCACCCACTTATCCAGTGTCCTTGGAACAGAAGGTGCCTTCAGTCCCCCAAGTGGGTGTGGACAGGTGTGGGTGGAATTGCACACTGTGGGCTCTTTCATGTCTGGCTGCTTTTGCTCAGCTAATGGCTGTGAAATGCATCCATATTGTGTGTCACACTCCTTCCGGTTGCCAAGTAGTGTGGTGTTGTATAAAAATACCACATTTTGTTTATCCATCTGCCTGTTGGTGGGCATTTGCTTGTTTTCAGTTGGAAAACTATCATGAAGCAGGCTGCCCCAAGCCTGGTGGTTGTTACCACCTGTTCTTCAGGGTCAGGAGGCCACACAAGGGATTTACACGAGCAGGGTGAGCAGGGCCACCACTCATGATCACGGGGACCATGCACAGCCAGCAGGCTGGTGGGGCAGGAGAGCAAGCGGGGCTCGAACCAGCGTGGGTGTGCTTCCCCTGAGCTCTGTGGGGCTACGGCCTAAGGCCACCCATTTCCAGCTCCCCATAGGTGCCCTGGGGGCTGGTGGGCTGGTGGGCTGGCAGGCTTGTGGGCAAGACCACAGGCTACCAAGGCATCTGCGTTCTGCAGCATCACTGTGCTGGTCCTTCCTCTAGGAGGCTTTAAATGGGGTTGGGTCCTGGAGCGTCTGGGTGGCCCAGCCAGTTAAGCGTCCACCTTCGGGTCAGGTCATGATCTCACAGTTCGTGGGCTTGAGCCCCGCATCTGGCTCTGTGCTGACAGCTCAGAGCCTGGAGCTGCTTTGGATTCTGTGTCTCCCTCTCTCTCTGCCTCTCCCCCACTCATACTCTGTCTCTCTCTCAAAAAATAAACAAACATTAAAAAAGAAAATGGGGTTGGGTCTGGCCTTCTCGGAAGGTTTTCCTGTTGCACAAGAATAGACGCAGTAATTTCTCAAGTCTTTGCCACCAGGATTCTTAGCCTCCCCCAGGGGGCAGGGCGAGGTACAGGTGGGGGGTGGGGCGTGCGATCAGGCATGTCAGAGTTCTGTCACTGTAACACCCCTCGCTCGCTGTGGGACCCTGGACCGGTGACTTCCCCTTGCAGAGTTTCTGTGTCTGTTTCCTCATCTGTCAAGGCCCACATCCCTGCCTTCCAGGTTCGTTCTGATGGCTCCTTAAGATACCATTTATGACATGCTGTACACAGAGCCTGGCATTCAGGAAATCATAGATGGCAGCAATGAGGAATATTCTGTGGCCTCTTGATCTAGTGCCTAAAATAACTTCCACTGCGTCAGAAAAGGTCTCCTGGAGGTTCTGGAAGAAGCAGCCCCAGCCGCTGCTGCCTCCTGGACGGACAAGGGTTGGGAAGAAGGACAGGACCAAGTAACCCCTGTCCCTTGTGTTTCCAGACCTGTCTTCCCCGGTGGAAGTTCTGCGTGAGCGACACAGAGAACAACTTGGGCTTCGCCCTGGGCCCTATGTTTGTCAAAGCGACCTTTGCGGAGGACAGCAAGAGCATAGTGAGTACCTCGTCTTGCACGCAGGCTGTGACATCGCACCTGCACTAGCCCTTCGTGAACCTGACAGCCCACACTTCTGTCTGCTCTGGACCTTTCCTACTCCGGGCCAGGGCTCCAGCCTTAACTCAAAGTTCCTGTTTTCTGAAGCCTTGAATGCCAGGAGTTATTTGGGATAGCTCTATAATTGAGTGGCAGGCACTGTAGCTGTATTGCCCTTTAACCCCACAAGGCCATTCCCGCCATCTCTGCCTCTACCTCCAAGGGGAATGAGGGGCCCAACGAGCTGGTGTTGGCAGAGCAGCTCTGGCCTGGAGGGTGACATTTTTCTTACCCTGTGGGTGACGGGTTTGTTCTGGACACACAGAGGAACATCATGGCTAAGTGTGTGAAGACAGCCAGGCCCCAGTCCAGATCCTGGATCCATCACCTCCTGGTGGGGTGACTTGGGACAGTTTTTCTCCCTTCACCGTTAACTTGGAAGTGGGGCTGTCCATCCCACTTGGAAGTGGGAGACAAAATGAAATACCGCACACAAAACAAGGGCTCAGTGAGTGATAGCTATTATATTATTATTATTATTATGTTATTGTTACAGTTTTTGTTCCTGATTTTAATTATGTAGATATTATCTGCAGTCAGATGTTAGCAAAGGGAGACTCCCATTCCTTAGGCGACTCGACTCGCCTGTGAGCAGCTGATACAGAATCTTCGTCTAGTTCTGTCAGCCGTCAGCCCCTCTGCTCTTTCTGCTGCACGACTTCCTCCCCCCGCTCTAGCATCTTTGGCCTCCGGGTCTGCCTGTGACATTATCGCCCTCAAGAGAAGCTGGTCATCTCCAGCCTGAGCACAGCATTGCTGAGACTGCTTCTCAGAACTCGGGTTCTGTAGATTTTAAAACCCATTCCATCAGTAAAGAAATCCTGTGGGCCAGTAAGTCTGAGAAAGACTAATAAGACTTTTACACTCTCCAGAAGAACCACAGTGCATGTTATACGCCAAAGGTTCTGAAAAGTCCTGCAGAGGAGAGACTTTTCCAGCTTCCCCAAAGCTTGTCCTACGCATATTTGGCCATGGAGCTCTGTTTATGGAGGTCCAGTCTTGTCCTGCAGGACTTCAGTGTTCTGAGGAACAAGGTTGGGGAAGTGGCTGGGGCTCCCTTCTTCGCCCAGCACTCACAGCCTGAGGTTTTGAGCTGTGATCTGAGTTTCGACTCTGGCCCGGGGCCTCCCTTCTGCCTGGGGTGTCTGTCCAGTGCCCAGCCCTCACTGGTCAGCTTCTCTCTCCTCAGGCCAGCGAGATAATCCTAGAGATCAAGAAGGCATTTGAGGAAAGCCTGAACACACTGAAGTGGATGGATGAGGACACTCGGAGATCAGCCAAGGAGAAGGTGAGGCTGGCCCGGTGCCTGAAGGGATGGCTGAGGCTTCCCGCCCGTGGGGCCACAGCCACGGACGGAGGAGGGTGCGTGAAGGGAGACCAGTCCCAGCTAGTAAGCCCGGCGTGGATGCTGTCCTGCCCTCAGGGGCTGAACAGTCCAGCAGGATGGAGGGACAGCCTTGACCACATGATTGCATTAATAACTGGGTAAAAACCGACCGTGTTGAGCACGTGAGAGAAAAATGCAGGGAGATGTGACATGTCTAACGAAGAGGGAGGGACTTGATAGAATCCAGCGGGGGACAGCCAGCAGAGGCTTCCCTCGAGACGTGACATTTAAGCAGAGGGCCAAAGGGTAAGTAGAAGTCGGGCAAGAGAGGAACCTTTCCAGAAAGAGATGTGGAAACCCCAAGCAGGAGGACCTGCCCGTGTCCCTTTGGTCCAGAGCCCGAGGCCAGCCAGCCCTGCTGAGCGCTCAGTGTCCGCCGTATCTCTCCTGTCTAGGCAGACGCAATCTACAACATGATAGGCTACCCCAACTTCATCATGGACCCCAAGGAGCTCGACAAAGTGTTCAATGACGTGAGTGGCTCCCACCCTGCCCCCTTGCGTTCCCAGATGCCCCTGGAGGTCCGCAGTTGGGGACGAGCAGAGGCAGGCTGGGTCCAGGTGGGATGCTGGAGGCACCTTGACTGTCAGGACATCTCAAGATGCGGTGGTGGGAGGTGTGGGGATGGGTTCTCTGCTCCTCCCCTCCTGGGCCCGCCTCCCCCGAGCCTCTGTCAGTCAGTGCCCAGCCCTCCGTGCCAAATGGTGCCACGTGCCCTGCCAGACACTCCATTTCATGGGCAGCTCCATTGGATGAGTGGGAATCATGGAGGTGAGCAGACCCTGGAAGGCACAGACAGAATTGATGCCCCTAAAATATCAGGGAGCCCCTCATACCACCTTTTCCTTCCCAGGCCCCCAAGTTGCCTCCTCTCCCCAGGGGCCTCCCCCACCTTCCCAGAAAAACCTGGACCTCATTTGGACCTTAAATGCTAATGGGAAAGAGGAAGCATGAATCCCAAATGCACATTTAAGCTTAAATGAGGCAACAGGGGTGCTTGATATATTCCTGGGAGTTGGAACTTTTGGCAGGTCATTCCTTTAAATGGATTGTATTTCTGCCCTGAAAGATAGTTTTATATCTTTTTGTGATTGAAATTTGTGAATTCAGGCATTTTTGCAATTATAATAACCTCTCATCATGGCTCTATTTAAAACCCAAGAATATTAAAACTACTTCTGAGAATATGGGACTGACTCATTCTGCAGCGTGTTTCCTTCAGAATAATTTAAGATGCCCCAGGGTGTCACAATACAGGATCCAGAGGCTCTTGCGGACAGCCCACAGGATCAGAGTCCTGTCCCCAGGGCCCCAGCATCTTTCCAGAGCCCTGACGAGAAGCCAGAAAGCCCTGGAGCCGATCTGAGGGAGAACCTTGCCCCCTGAAAAGAGCTGAAAGGCTGGGCTGAGTGCTAAGGAAAATGTGCAGTGATGCCTGTACCCTGACATGTCAGAGACAGATCCCGGCTTGATTCATGTGCTATCCAGAGTGGTAGCTACAAGCCACTACTGTTTAATTAATTAAAATCTAAATACATTAAAATTTAATTAAATGTAAAAGTCACACTAGCCACGTTTGAAATGCTCAGTAGCCACATGTGGCTGGTATCTACCATACGGGATAACGCGGGCATAGAACATGTCCCTCATCATGGATTGGACAGCACTGGAGGGATTTCCTGCCTAAGGCCCAGGCGCTGCTGCAGGCCGTGATACTGCTTGGTATCGAGCGGTCCTGGTGAAGTTCTTACCGTGTCCTCGAAAGGGAGAGGGGAGGGTGCCGGGCCCCAGCAGGGTCAGGGCCAAGGCAGGAAGCCACCAAGCCTGCAGTCCCGAGCCCTCCATTCCATCCTCTGACCTGTGGACCCATCCCTTAACCTCGTGGGGTCTCAGCTTCCTCAGTTTTAGAAGAAGGGGTTTGCCTTTCGAGGAGCCGGGGGGCCTCCTGGCCTGGGTACGCTCTGATCTTGTAATTTCGCTTCCTCTTGTCCAGTACACGGCAGTTCCGGACCTCTACTTCGAGAATGCCATGCGGTTTTTCAACTTCTCTTGGAGGGTCACTGCTGACCAGCTCAGGAAAGCTCCCAACAGAGACCAGTGAGTCCCTGGGCCTTGCTGGGAGGAAGTAGCTCCCAGAACACAGGGTGCTGTGGGCTGAGCTTGCCTTTGTCGCACATGCACCACGTGCCCACCGTGACTCTCCTGAGTGCCATCTGAGGAGTGGGTACCGTGGTTTTCCCACTTTTCAGATGCAGAGACCAGGGACCAAGGAAGTGTGCCCAGCCAGGAGCTGGGACTGGCCCAGGTCTGTGTGCCCCCGGTGCCCAGCCTGTTGGCAGAGTAGTGGCCTCTAGACTTGAGTGGCCCGGCCTCACGTCCTGGTTCCACAGCTTCAGTGTTTAGAGCCTTTGCCTTGTTATCTGCAGATAAGATGGGAGGAGCCCATGGACAGTCAAGTGTGAGAACTTCGCAGGAGTGTCTGGCCCAGAGGAGGCCCTCGGTTAGGGAGGATTCCAGACGGGCCCCCAACAGCTGTGGTTCCCAAACCTCACTGCATATCAGGACCCTCTGGGGAAGTTGTGTGTGTGTGTGTGTGTATGTGTGTGTGTTTTCCTGAGGAAGGTTTTTTTTTTTTTTTATGTTTATTTGTGAGAGGGAGACTACGCATACGCACGTGGAAGGGGCAGAGAGAGAGGGAGACAGAGGATCCCAAAGGGACTCTGCGCTGACAGCAGAGAGCCCAATATGGTATTCTAACTCACGAACTGTGAGATCATAACCTGAGCCGAAACCAAGAGTTGGACGTTCAACCCACTGAGCCACCCAGGCGCCCCTCCTGGGGAAGTTTTTTTAAATACAGCTTTCGCCTGGACCTCAAACCTTAAAATAATCTGGAATGAGCTCTGGCATCTGTCATTTTTTGAGCAGTCTCCTTGGAAAAATCTTCTGTTGTCAACGCAGCTCTAGTTCTCAAAATAAGCTCCCTCCACGCCGAAAACATTTTGCAGAATAAATCTTAACCAAGGTGGAAGCAGCTTCTCTTTGCCTCTGGTGCCCCCTCGTGGCCAACCGAGGTTTGAACATCTCTGTTTCCTCTGTCTCCAGACTATGGCACAGATACTGCCACAAGGTTCCGAATTTATCTGAAGTCTTTAATTTAACTTAAAATTTGTCATTTAAATTCTGCCTCCTGCCCGTTCATGTAACCATGTGTTTTTAAAAAATATGAATTTTCAATTTCCCAGTATCTTTCCATGGCTTCAGTTACCCACCAACACATCTCTGTGGCGCTTACCTGGAGGAGACAGAGTGAACTGTCTAAGCTCTTGGAGAAAACGTCCTTCCTGTCTCACTCTGCTCCTTTTTTTTTTTTAAGTTTATTTATTTTGAGAGAGAGAGAGAGAGAGCGCCTCAGTGGGGGAGGGCAGAGAGGGAGGGAGAGAGTGAATCCCAAGCCGACTCCACATTGTCAGCACAGAGCCTGATGCAGGACTCGAACTCACAAACCGTCAGATCATGACCTGAGCTGAAACCAAGAGTTGGACACAACCAACTGACTCAGGCACCCCAGCACTCCACTCCTTACTGAACTTCCCCCCCCAATACCAGAAAAATTATCAAGTGGACAGATGTTTCTACCACTAGGTTCCCTTCTACATTCTTTGTTTTTAAATTTTTTTTTAGGTTTTATTTTTTTAACTAATTGTGCACCCAACATAGGGCTTGAACTCACAACCCCAAGATCAAGAGTTGCACGCTCCACCCACTGAACCAGCCAGGCACTCTGCCCCACTTCTACACTCTTGAAAAATTATTGGACCCCAAAGAGTCATTTTTATATGGCGATTATATCAATTTATTATAAATGTTATTAAAAGGAACTATTTTCTTACAAAATATTTAGTGAGAAAAAGGTATTATTTTACTTTTTGCCTATTTCTTTGATATCTGGCTAAATAAAAGACAGCTAGATTCTTTATCTGACGCTGTGTTCAATCTATTGCAATATCTTGTTTTGAAATATATAAAGAAAACCTAGCTTCATGCAGACACGAAACTGGGAAAGGCAAGAATGCTTTAGTAGTCCTTTCTGATACTTGTGCACACTCTTTGTCGATACTACACCAAAACTCAGCAAGTAATAATTTGTTAAAGGTTAATCGCACTGTGGAACCTGAACCCATAGTCATGAACTTTTCCTACTCTGTTACACTGACACCCATCAGTCTGTCTTGCACTTTGAATGGATCTTTTAGCCAGCCCTAATTTGTCACATCACACATCGGTCATTTGGGAAACAATGGCCCCGCTGACTTTTACATACCTTCCCCCCAAATCCACATTTGTTCATATCACTGTTGACCTCCTGAGAAAAGTCTTTAAGTATTGGGAAGCTGTCGAGTTTGGAGGGACTAATACAAGTTCTTGTAATTTTACTAATTAAGTAATTAATTTTGCTTGAAACTTCAAAGTTTCTTTTTAATTTTTAAAAAATTCTGCGGCGCCTGGATGGCTCAATCGGTTAAGCATCTGACTTCGAATCAGGTCATGATCTCAACGGTTCATGAATTCAGGCCCCTCATCAGGCTCCGTGCTCATCGTGTGGAGCCTGCTTGGGATTCTCTCTCTCTCTTTCTCTCTCTCTCTCTCTCTCTCTCTCT